TGGGAAGGCTGAGGTGGGATCACCTGAGCCCAGGAAGTCAAGGCTGTAGTGAGCCGTGATTGCACCATTGCACTCCAGCCTGGGTGACAGAGTGAGACCCTGTCCCAAAAAATAAAAATAAGTCGGGGGTGGCTCACGCCTGTAATCCCAGCACTTTGGGAGGCTGAGGAGAGTAGATCACTGGAGGTCAGGAGTTGGAGACCAGCCTGGCCAGCATGGTGAAACCCCATCTCTACCAAAAATATAAAAAATTGAACGGGTGGTGGCGGCGCACCCCTGTAATCCCAGATGCTCGGGAGGCTGAGGCAGGAGAATTGCTTGAGCCCAGGAGGTGGAGGATGCAGTGAGCCGTCTCAAAAAAAATAGTAATAAAATACAGACTGCATCTTAAAAATATGTGGGTGTTTACTGTGTACTAGGAGCTGTATAAAAGGTTTTCACATATATCAAAAGGTACTTTATTTCATTTAACATTTTAAACAAAATGCTTTATATATAATAAGTATTTTCACCAGCACTTTGATCACACTAAGCTGGCATTTGTTTAAGCTTGTCAGTTTTATAAAGGCTTTGTTAAAATTCAAATTTTTAAGAATACTTTTGCACTAGGTCTCCAGAAATGCTTTGGGTTCATCTTTCATTGCTGCGAGGAACCTCCATGCCTCTAACACTCATCTTCAGAAGACTGGTAAGTCAGTATTTCTCAGTCTACACGGCACTTACCAGATGAAGATACAAATTATCACACTAGATGAAGATCAAAATTACATACATCATGTAACTGTTGTGGGTTGTTTTTCATTTGTTAGTTTTTTCTTTAGTTTGTATACACTCTCAGGTTCTTAAACCATTATGTGCCATTTAGCCCTGTCGTGGTTCTCTTGTTATAATCAAATGAACTACAGTTACATGTTTTTCTTTTGATGTTAGTACAGCTTCTTTGTTCTGATAATGGCCCTTGGGTAGAAATGGAAGGGCCATATACTAGGTAATGGAATCTTTCTGACCTGTGAAAGACTTCTTTTTTCCTCTTTGAAAAAGCGTTAGAAAACATGTAAGTTCTTTTTTTGTTATTTTTTTTTTATTATACTTTAAGTTCTAGGGTACATGTGCATAATGTGCAGGTTTATTACATATGTATACTTGTGTCAGAAAACATGTAAGTTCTTAATGATAGGTTTTATTTTTCAAAGGCAGTAGCTGCTAGATATTTGGCAATCTGTGAACTTGCACATTACAGATGT